AAAAGAGTTTTACAAACTAACCTGATATCTTTTATGGTTTTGGTGAACTCAAATAAGTTTGAACAAACCGATAATCTCAAACGTATTTTATTTACATAAAAACACACTTATATTTAATCTAATTAAGTGTCATGCAAATTAATTTTTATAAGTTCAATTTTATTTTCCTATATGGGAGATATATTATTTGATCTTTGTTATTTCTAATTTTTCACGTGTATTCTAAAAATCATGAATTTTTCTTCTTAAATGTTCTAATATCGCGTTTGACGCGGGTCAAAAATCTAGTGAGTACAAAATTATAGAACAAAAATAAAGAAAAGGCAGTTGTAAAACCATGTTAAATGAATAAAAGAAAATATGTGTAAACTTCGCACCCTTAAAACTTAATTATCACAAAAATCTCTCGACATCTCTTGCACTAAGATTGTGAAGAATATATCCCGCATTTAAAATAAAAAGTGATTTGACCTATCATATAATGGATATGAGCCAATACACTAATAACCAATTAGTTTTGGAGGTTATTTTTAAATTGGAAAACTATGAAACTTAATATGATATCATATTCCGAACACGCGTTGTCCCATTCGAACCAAAATTGATCCGGTCCATGAAAAGAGTTCCTATTGATCTTACACGAAATCAATCCTATATTAGGGTTAAGTCGAGATTAATGGTTAACCATATCTAAATAACTAGATTGTTATCACAATATGATCTCTAATAGAATTTTCTACGGTTTAGGTTTCACGGATTTCACTTCACAAACAGGTTTTGATTTCCCACCTTACTTTCGTTTTGTTACATCGAAATTATGAATTATCGTAATAATATTTTTTTTCTCTAAATAAATCAACTTGGCAAAGAACCTTGAACAATTAAGTGTGAGCCAAGTCGGAGGAATCCATGTAGAGTTGTGTATGAGAAACTGAGACTTGCTTAGTTCTAATTTATTATTGTACTAAATTTAGGTCCGCGTAAATACGCGCGTAAACACGCAAAAATTATTATTATAACTATTTAAATTTTAGTTAGAAATCCATTGAATTACCACAATACTTTGAAATACTATTTAAACACAGATCTTTAATCATTAAAGATCGGCTAATATATTAAGCAGAATTCAAATCATATACTTAATAAAAAATAAAGAAATATATTCTTACCCATTTAAATATATATTAGTTTTGTGATAAAATCGTAAAAATATTTAATATTATAGTGTTAAATTAAAAAGAATAAATTTCATGTTATAATTTCATTAAAGACTTATAAAAATTATATTATAAATAATTTTATCAAACATCACATATAAATCCACGATTGATAAATGTATACAGTTGATGTCAGCTATTCTTTTCTTGTAGAGATATACACTCGCTAAATCTTAAATACTA